GGACTGGAGCCTGCTAGGCTCCTCTGTTCATGGGGATTCTCCAGGCAAAAATACTGGAGTGAGTTGCCATGCCTTCTTCCAGGGGATCTTCCTGACATTCCTCTTACATCTTCTGCATTGGCAGGCAGGTTCTTTACCACTAGTATTACCTGGCAAGCCCATGAGATCCCGCAGAACTGCACTTTTTCTTTCTTACACAGAACCAGGCTAAGGTGATAAGACTGACTGTCTAACCGACAGGCAAGAGCTGATGAACCTAGGTGAAGAACTCCCTTCCTGGGAGTCCTGTGAGGCTGAACACTGTCCTAGAATTGCCATCCCTGCCCTAGGCACCTCTGTAACACTTCTCTCAGAATTGCTCTCATGGCATAGGGCACATTTTTCTCTTAATACTCTCAGTAGTGGTAAAACTTTATCCCTTTGGGGTAGATCTGATGTTTTAGATATTTTATTTTGAGATAATTGCAGATTTACACAGTTACAAGAAATAATGCAGAGATATCCTGTCTATTGCTTCCCTGTTGGCTCAGATGGTAAACAGTCTGCCTGCAGCGTGGGAGACCCAGGTTTGATCCCTGGTCAGAAAGATCTCCTGGAGGAGGAAATGGCAATCCACTCTAGTATTCTTGCCTGGAAAATTCCATGGGTGGAGGAGCCTGGCAGGCTATAGTCCATGTGGTAGCAGAGTCAGACATGACTGGGTGACTTCACTTTCACTTTTTATCATGTCTATACTCTAACCAGTTTCCCCTCAATGCTAACATCTCACAAATCATAATACAGTATCACGGCGAGGGCACTGCCATTAAAGATAGATGATCTCTCCATCCCCACAGGGTATCTCAAGTCTCCATTTTATAGCCTCATCTACCTCCCTCACCACCCCCCCATCCTCTCCTTAAACCCTGCTGCTGCTGCTGCTGCTGCCATTAATTTATTATCCATTTCTATAATTCTGTCATTCCAAGAATGTTATACACATGGAAGCAAATGGTATATAACCTGTAAGAATGGCTTTTCTCGCTCAACAAAATTCCCTAGAGATTTATACAAGTCATTACACATATCTATAACTCACTTTTTTGGTGCTGAGTAATATTCCATTATAAACATGTCCCTCTTGTTCGACCAACCAATCAGCTACTGAAGGACATATGAGTTATTTCTAGAGATATGTAGAGAGTTTTATGTGAACCCAAATTATAACTTCTCTGAGATAAATACACAAGTGTCATTGCTAGGTTGTACAGTAATTATACATGTAATTGCATTAAAAATTACCAAAGTGTTTTCCAGGGTGGTCATACCATTTTATTTTTCCATCAGCACTAATTCAGCAATGCATTAGTGACCCCGTTTATCTGCATACTCACCAGTGGCTACTTTTTATTTTAGCCATTACGAGAGGTATGTAGTAATATACCACTATGGTTTTAATTGGCATTTCTCTAATGGCTGATGACATTGAACATCTTTTCACATGCTCGCTGCCATCTATATATCTTCTTTGGTGAAATGTCTATTCATGTCTTTTGCTCATTTTCTAAATGGATTGTTTGGGGCTTTTTACTGCATATGCTTTTTTATTAAGTAATTTGAGTCAAGTGTAGTGAACACCGTGAATGGTTTCTCTGAGTAGGATCATTCTGTATGCCATCAAACACACCAGTATACATACATACATACATACACACACACACACAAATGTGCACACACAATCAAAAACGTGTCTATAAATAAATCAATGAGCCTCTTTTCTTGTAATGATCTTAAATGAGTTCAGAGCGGTTACCAAAACATACACTGCCCAAGGTTCTTAAGCTATTGTAAACTTGGATTTCTCCGTGAATCTGATGAATATAAAAGATCCTCTCTCCACAAAAACACACATCCATACAGAATTTACCTCCAACTTTACGAGATTCCTAGGTTGATGAAGTCAGCAATGAACCCTGGGTGAAGAAAACCTAATTTAGCAGAATGCCTAAGTGGTTGACTGGAAGTAGATTTGAAGAACTCCATGCTCACTTGGAAATTATAGCTTCAGAGCAGGTTTAAGACTTCCAGCAGTGGATGTCAATCTCTGAAAGTCAAAATCACACTCAGATGCCTGGGCCCACCTCCAGGTTTGACCCATGAAGTCTGTCAGGGAACCTGAAAGTCTGTATTTCACACAGCTCACAGGCAAGGACTGAGAAGCCCAGGTGAAGTCAACAATCTCAGCATCCACCTTCCTTCACTAATAGGCAAAATGCCTATCTTACTTAAAGTACTGGGAGAAGGAGATTATACAATCTCCAGAGTGTAATTCCCTACACAGTGAAAAAGGAATTTTCCCTTTAGACTCTGACCTAAATACACCCAGGAGTCTCTCTTCTCCTATTCTCAGGACAAATGCATCTTTAAAGCACCACCAAGGAAACTTCCAAATCCTTAAGACTGTCATGGAGGCAGCTGTCCAGGTTTCTCGATCCTGAATCAAATCCCTGCAGGATGCTTTCAGCTTTTCCCCATAATGTTCCCTTTACACAGTGAGCATTTTGGTTTCTCTCTTCCATATCCTATGCTATAATAATCCTGTCTGCTGGTTAGAAGCTGCACAGATCAGTGAGGGACACTGTTTACTTGTACAGACCAGTGGAGTGGCGGCATGTGCTGACGAGTGGCATGTGCTCTTCACCTGTACCAATCAGTGAGATGGCTGTCCACGTGTACAGATCAATGGGGTGTGCTAGGTGACCTGTCCAGAGCACTGAAGTATGCTGCTTTACCTGCAGAGATGAGCAAGTGCCCTGCTTTTGCCTGCACAGAGCAGTGGGTGCACTGGCTTAGCATCTACAGTCATTAGGAAGTTCTAAAGGCCAAATCCCAGCTAGCCTCATATTCCAGTTTTGCCCTTAACTAGCTGAGAATCCTTGGGTATGTTTCTTAACCTCTCTGAACCCAGTTTCTTCATGTGTTAAATGAGAACAATAAAACACCACCACCCTCACACAAAAGGTGAGGAGATTGGCTGAGATAATATGTGTAGTTAGGTCCTTGGCATGAAAGGGCTGTTCGGTAAGCATTTGCTCCCCTTCTCTTCCATGGATATTGATTTAATGGTGTTGTTCCACCTGGCGTGGGGTTGCCCTACTGAGCTCTGGGTAGCTTAACCTGCCCCTTGGCCTCTTTCCCCACAGGGAGGCTTTCTGCATTACTCACTCTTTCTTACTTCCCTGATGCCACAGGGTCCCTGCAGTGCAACACTGGGCCCTCCTCTCCCATTGTGGTGAGCTCCGTATCCCCATGGCACAGGTCAGGAGCAATTTGGCATCTTGGCCTTCTGTTAGTGAACTTCCCAGCTGAACAAAGAACAAAGGCTCCAGAGTCGGGCAACAAGGTGGTAGTGGACTTACAGCTTAATCATGCCACTCCCCACTGGCAACATCTGCCGCTGCCCCTTTGGCCCAAGGGAGTTATTTCCTCTAACAGAGCCCAAAGTAGAATCTTGAAACAACAGGGCCAGACTGCTCCAGAAAGCAGAGATGACTCACGTAAGCAGATACCCCCAGGGACCCCAAGAAGCTCCAGCCACCCATTCATGTGTCATGCCCTCCTCTGGCAATATTCTCCTCAACCTAAATGCACAATAAGGTTTCCTCTTCTCTGCTCGTGTGCAAAGCTTTCTCCAGCTGGGTGCAAGCATTCCTCCACACCCCCTAACCGCTGTGACATCTCTCACATGACAAACCCTTGAAGGTGGCTTGAGTGCCTCAAGGCTTGGACTCTGGTACCTGCCTGCCTGAGTCAAACCAAGCTCTGCCCCTTTCTAGCTAGGTGACTTAGGAAGAAACACTTAATCTTCTTGTGCCTCCGTTTCCTCATCTCTACAGTGGAAATGATAATAATACCTACCTCACAGATTTTTTTGTCAGGATGAAGTGGCTAATGAGGTGAAGTACTTAGAAGAGCCCCAGCATCTAATAAAGCACCACATGCATGCATGCATCTAAGTCACTTCAACTGTGTCCGACTCTTTCTGATCCTATGCCTGTAACCCACCAGGTTTCTCTTTCCATGGGATTCTCCAGGCAAGAATACTGGAGTGAGTTGCCATGTCCTTCTCCAAAGGATCCCTTCTCCAGGGGATCTGCCCAACCTGGGGATCAAGCCCGCATCTCTTAAATCTCCTGAACTGGCAGATGAGTTCTTTACCACTGGTACCACCTGGGAAGTCCCACCACTTGCATACGAGCAGTTTACTACTGTTGTTGTTGTTCAGTCACTTAGTCGTGTCTGACTCTTTGCGACCCCATTGACTGCAGCATGCCAGGTTTCCCTGTCCTTCACCATCTCCCAGAGCTTACTCAAACTCATGTCCATTGAGTCAGTGATACCATCCAACCACGTCATTCTCTGTCTCCCACTTCTCCTCCTGCCCTCCATCCTTCCCGCCGTCAGGATCTTTTCCAATGAGTCTTTGCTGTTTACTACTAGTATAGTATGCATTACCAGGAACTTGATGCCATAAAAGGGTCTGTGATGAGAAGAGCAGTACCTGGACCAGGCTGCAGCTGCCGGTTCAGGTTTGTCTAATTCCAGGCCAGCCATTCTGAAGATTCTGGGAAAATTATCTCCTCTCACCACTCACCTAATCCAAGGAATCTATCTTCAGTTAGCGGAGAGCTTACGGGCAGAAAACCATTTCTGCAGAGCCAGCTAGCCCTTATCTACATCCTGCTCCCGAGTGAGTCAAAGACCCAAAGGCAGTAACGGTTCTCTTCGCTCAGTTCCACTGAATATTCTAAGTCCTGCCTTGGTATTTTCCCAGGAACTGGGGCTAGTTTATCCCTGCCCAGAGCAATCACCCACTCTAGGCATTTCTTTATCTGCTACTACCCTCTCCATTTTGCTGCCTGCCAATAGAGCAGGAAAAGTTAGAAGCTCTGGAGTGAGAGCGCCAAGCTTCAAATGCTGATGGTGTTGCTTCTTTGCGCCTCAGTCTCCTTCTCTGTAAAATGCTTATAAACAAGAGTCCCTACATCATGCAGTCATTACAGAAACTGAATGAAACATTGTATGCAGACACTGCAGGTAAAGCACAGTGCCTGGCACACTAGTGGATACATGGCTCATGCTCACTCTTTTTAAATCCTTTCCCCCAACCCTTCTCAGTCCCATTTACACAGAAGCTCCTGGATTTTTATGCCAATAGGAGGCAGGATCAATCATATCCCATATCTACTCCACCAAAACATACACATACACACATCCACTCCACCAAAACACACACAGCAGGATTAATCACGCTCCATTTCCACTCCACCAACACACACACATACACACACACACACACACACACACACACTCCACTGCCCAGGCCAGCCTGTGGACCAGTTGAACAGCGGGATGACCCCATGGAGAAATAACACTGAAGAAGGTGCTCAGGGAACCCAGACTTTCTCCTTCCTCTGCTCCTGACTGTTTGGAGCCGGTGTTTCTGGGGCTGTGGAGGGGGAGGTGGTCCCTTGCTGATGGGCTCTCATGATAGGGGCTATATCTCATGTCCCCTTCGCAGGAGTGCACAGTGCACTGTGCCTTAGATCAGCTGTTGTTTTCCAATTTCTTCAGTGCCCACCTGCTGTCTAAGCTAATTTAACAGCCTCCACACCCCTGGGGAGCCGGATGTTCACAGGAATGAGGAGGCGGCTCAGAGACAACCCAAGTGAGGAAAGTGAGCACAGATACAGCCATATGTCCGGGCATTAAATAAAATAAGCACATAGATTACAAACCCTGGAGGTACTTCTGCTAACATCCGATTAGCAAGCGTGCCCCTGTAGGGAAAATCTGCCTTCCCATGCTTTCCTGTAAAGCAATCCAAAGCATTAGTGAGGAAATTCAAGGCACTGCTCTCTGTGTGCCTGTGGTCTGAGCTCCTGGTTAGGAATTGGAGGGTATAAGGGGTGTGTGTGTGTGTGTTCGTGTACGCACACATGTTCCTGTTGAGTGGAAGATGCTGATGGGCAGTAGAAATAAAAGATGCGTGAAAAACTGTAATTCTCCTTCGTAAGCTATGCAGCATCCCCCAGCACTAGTACCTCTTTCTACCACCTACCCATGGAGATATTTATCACATGAATATCCAGGAGCCTATCTCGGGGATATAGAATAGATGATGTGGAGGAAATTTTAAATGGCTGGTCTGGCCATGAAAAATCCTTCCTGCCACTGACGTGAGATTCATGTGCATTCCAACTGTCTTCTTTGGGGGCAAATATGCATCAGGCTGAGGCTCCAGTTTATACTTCCCTGTGACTTTTCTCAAGTCCTTTAGACAAGTATATTAAGCTCAGTTGTCTATGATGTGTCTCAGTGGGGCCCCTCTTCTGTCTGGGGGGAGCCTTAAATCTAGTTCCTCTACTCAGCTATATCCTCCTCCCTGGATGCTATGGCAGTGGCTATCTCTCCACCCCTTTGGGCCACTTGTTGACCTGGTTTATTTCACTCTTCTTCTGTACGTGCTTCATCTCACCAGTCAGACTGTGAGTTCACAGAAGGCAAAGGCAATGTTGTGAACCACTCTCCCTCAGCATCAGCACAGGCCAGGACACTGCGTTTGATGCTCAGTGAATCCAGGGTCCAGTGCAATGACTAGCTCCTGTTACTCTTGTCCTGGTGCTTTTATTTCCAGAAAAATCATTAACAATCCTCTGTATTAGGGAGTTGAAAATGTATCTCTCATCTTAACACAGTGCCCTTCCTTTCAAAGATACCTCAGTGACCAACCCATCCACCCAGTCATCCCCATCAGAAGCCAGCTGTCACCCTTGAGGCCTCCTGATAACTCAGAAGAATAGTCTAGGTTATACTATCCATCATGGATGAGCAGAGTGCTGATACATATTTCATTTAAGAAGTCTAGCTACAGCCCACGGGGCATAATTAGCCACAAGTCCCTACCTAACTGCAAGAGGACAGGAGAACACAGCCACCAGATAGAATTTTCAGTGACCACCATTTGCTCAACATGTTTGTTATATGTCCCTCCACCCCCAACTCCCCATCCCTGACAAGTCTGTCATCAGTGCCTATGCACTGCATCTTGCCTTTTTTAGAAAATATGACTGTTTCTCCCCATCTTCAAAGACATTGTTTATTTCAAGCCCTCATCATCATTGCCTTCAGTGTGGACCTCAACTGTAAGCTCCTCTCTTTACAGCAGACACAGTAATCTTCTTGAATCTAATGATGTCAGCTCCCCACCTAAAGTATCTCAACAAAGCCCTTTACACACAGAATTCCTCTCTTAGCAAGGAGATTAAACCAGTCAATCCTAAAGGAAATAAACCCTGAATATTCCACTGATACTGGAAGGACTGATACTGTTGCTGAAGCTCCAATACTTTGGTCAACAGATACAAAGAGCTGACTCATTGGAAAAGACTCTGATGCTGGGAAAGATTGAGGGCAGGAGGAGAAGGGGACGACAGAGGATGAGATAGTTGGATGGCATCACAGACACAATGGACAGGAGTTTAAGCAAACTCTGGGAGACAGAGAAGGACAGAGGTGCCTGGTGTGCTGCAATTCTGGGGGTCACAAAGAGTCAGACATGAGCTTCTGAGACTCTTTAGGGCCTAATGTTGTAATAACTTGAACTGAAATGAAAAAAGTTAGTTCTTTTCATTTCAGTTCAAGTTAATACAAAAAATGTATGTTTCTTATGTATCAAATTATCTTCCACTCTACAGGACAAATGCCATATCCACACTTCTTTCTGAGATAATTTCTTTTCTATCTTGTGTCAAGTGAACATTAGACCCTAAAGAGTCTCAGAAGCTCTGTTTTCAGATGAAGAACAAAGAACATCTAATAGGTACATGAGGATTCTAAGAAGTCTTGTTGTGTACCTGAGGTCTATAAAACACACACTTCAGTAATTACTTTTACTCTAAGACAAAGTTTTACAGCCCTAAGTTGTTTCTTGCCCTGAGACCACCTCTTACTTTGAAGTCTTTTTGCTGGATTTTAGCCTTCAATTTTCTTCTAAATTCCATTTGAAGACCTAACAGCTCCCTTTTAAGCTCATCTCTTTCGATCTCAGCCTTGCACATTGTGAAAAGAAACCAGTTGGCATTTTCAATCATTTTCTCCCTGAAAATCTCCTTACCCAAATCTACCAGTTTATCAGGTATATTTTCTATTTTTCGTGTGCCTGCAGATAGCAGTGTTCTCAGACTTCTCACCACTACACACTATGGGTTGGTTTTCTTTTCTCCATCCTCCAACATCAACTCCCTGCTATGCTTCAAGCCTTTACTACTAGTCTCCTTGAGATCCTCAAGCCTCTGCCAGTCTCAAAACCAATATCATGTGAATGACACAGAATAAAAGACTGTTTGCGCAGAGGAGACCTTACACAACTGTGGGAGAAATTAGTGAAGTACAAGCCCAGGAGAGGACGGCTGGAGGATCAGAGAAACATCATTAACAGAGACCGCAAAAAAAGACGATAGTGAAAAAGTCTGCACGGGGCTGTTGGCTCTATTATCTGGGGGTGGAGCTGAAGTTGCTAGCAGGGCTAGCAGTTAGAAAAGCTGGCTATGGAGTGGGGAGGAAAGAGGAAAGGACAAACTTGAACCCACAGGTCCAACTAAACCCACATGTGTCTCTCATTTCCTCTACCTCAAAGACTCAATTCCCTCAGCACAAAGATGCACACATATCCGGTTCAAGAGGCAGAAGGCAAGATCCTATGGGAGCTGGAGGATCTAAAAACTCAGCTGTCACCCCGTGCCAGCAGGTGAGTGGAAGATCGGCCACGACCTGCATGAGCACCTGGGGCTCTGCCTGGACCTCTTGAGCATACCTGCTGCTGTTTTGATTCTATCTTTCAATCCTCATGTAGGTTTTTCTTATAGTTCACCCTAACCCACAGCCATGCCAGGAAGGAAATACAGGAACCACAGATTCAGTTTAGCTGAATTGACAAAGAATAAAATTACCACAAAGTCTCTTAGCTCATGGTTCCTGTCTAAAAGAAATACTTAATAACTGTTCAATATTTATTCATATTCTTGTCACCCAGCCCAAAGCTTAACACATAGCCATGACTTGTCTTTTAAAATAGTGGTCCCCAACCTTTTTGGCACCAAGGACCAGTTTTGTGGAGACAATTTTTCCACAGATGGAAGGGGGTAGGAGGGAAGGTTCAGGTGGTAATGCTAGCAATGGGGTGATGGTGCAGGTGGCAATGTGAGTGACGGTTCAGTGGGTAATGCAAGCTACGGTGAGTGATGGGGAGTGGTAGATGAAGCTTTGCTCTGTCTCCCACTGCTCACCTCCTGTTGTGTGACCCAATTTCAGGGATTGGGGACCCCTGCTCTGAAACATTTCCCCTAACTCAAATTGTCTTTCTTTTCTTAAAGAAACAAGAATCTTCTGAACCATCCTAATATTTGGTTAATTTCCCTCTCGGTGGGACAGTTTATTGCTTAGAACTAAAGCCTGCTATATACTACTTAACTCCAGAAGACAGAAGCATTAAAATTCATTCAGACTAAGTAGTAAGAAGAAAGATGATCTCAAGGTGTTACCATTTTCAACAGAGCCTGAGTGACAGGGCAAGATCCAAGCTTGAACACTTTCTCCTCATTAGCACTTTGGTTCCTGCACTCAACTCGGAGCCCCACCTCGATGACCCTGCCCAGACAAGGGGAACTGAGTGATGAGGTGATAATGAGGAGAAAATGTCCTGCCCTGTTCTGGGTCTGGCTAGTACAAAGCAGGACCACAGGGATGAGATTGTACCTGGCTCTTTTAAGATCTTCCCTCATTTGGGAAGCAGCATGATGAAAATCCATCATCATAATGAAGAAGAAGAGACTGCAGCAACAATGACCAAAGTGAAGAGTGTAGGTGAAAATGTACTGGCCTGGGCTCGCAGGATAAACTCAGACTCTTTTTCTTAAATATTTTTTAACTTTCAGTTTCATATTGGATTCTACCCAACTAACAATGTTGTGATAGTTTCGGAGGACAGCAAAGGGACTCAACCATACATATACATGTCTTCATTCTCCCTCAAACTC